GAAAGTGACAACAGTTGAAGAGCTACTCAGAGCTGGAGACCACTGCCTGAAAGCTTCTGCTGCTCTAAGGACTGACATTAACACATATATATTCCATCTCCGCACATCCCATGGCACACTGGTGGGGCCTTGGGAAACTCTGAATCAACATCCATGTATTTAGCTATCACCAATATGCAAATAATACAATTTTATATTTTCAGCCCAGGCCTCATTTCTCAGCCCTACATCTGTAGATCCAACTGCCCATCTGACATCTCTTTTGGGATATTTGAAAGCATCTTAAATACATCATGTCTAAAACAAAGCTCATGATCTGTGTTCCCCCAAACGTGGTCCTCTTCTGGTATTCTTTGTCTCAGTGTGGGCAATCACACCACTGAGTTGTGGAAGCCAGAATTCTAGGAGATATCATTTCCACCTCCCTCTCACTCCCACATCTAACCTATCATCAAGCTCTCTTCAATTTACTTGCTTTACATCATCTCGTCTCTCCACCTCTACCACCACCTAATCCAAGCTAATCATCATAGTTTATCAATTCACCTGAATAATGACAATAGCCACTCAAGTCATCTATCCTCATCTACTCTAGCACCCCCTTTTTAATTCATTCTCTAATCTATAAATAGACTGATTTTAAAAATAATAACAATAATAAAGATCTAACCAGATCATCCCTTAGCTTAAGACAAAATTCCTCAACATGACCAACAATACCCTGCATGGACTGATTAACACTTATTGTTCTGGTCATCTGTTGCTGCAGAACAAATCACCCAAAACTTAGTGGCTTAAAACAACAATTTAATATTAGCTCTGATGATTCTGTGGACTGTTCAGCCTCAGCTGGGCGGTAATCACCTAGAATCTATCATGCAGGTGCAGTAAGAATTTGGCTTGGCTTGGAGTTATCTGAAGGCTCAGCTGGGCTGGGCATCCAAGATGGCTTCTTCACTGCCATGTCTGACAGCTGGTCAGGCACCGCTCTCCCCATGTAGCCTCTCCATGTGGTTGGTTAAGGGTTTCTCAAAGCATGGCAGTCTCAGGGCATTCAACTTCTCACATGACAAGTTACTCTCCCCAGAGACCAAGGCAAAAGCTGCGAGACTTCTTGCGACCTAGTCTCCAAAGTCATTCAGCTCTCTTCTACCTTATTCTACAGGTCAAAATCGGGTCACAGGGTCAGCCCAGATTCCAGGACAGGAATACCAGAAATGGTATTCAAGTACACTTCTTGGGAGGGGTAGGAGGGTCACTGGAGAATATCAACCACACCTACCTCTCCAATCCTACTTTGCAGCACATTCCCTAATGCTGTTTCCACTTGAGCCACAGTGGCCTTCTTCCAGTTCCTTGTACTTATCATATTCTCTCCTGCTAAAGGCTTTTGCACATACCATTTTCTTTGCCTAGAGTGTTCTTCCAATCCCCCTTTTGCCAAGTTAACTACTGCTCAATTTTCAGAGCTCAATCAAGTGTCAAGCCTTCCCCGACTTCCTTAACCAGGTTACATCTTCTTATCATACACCGTCCTGGCACCAGACACACTTCTAGCACTGTCCTCTTCCCCACTGCACTTCGCATTTGTTTGTATAATTATGTAATTTATGTCTCAATATCCCTCACTAGACTGGAAGAGGAGCCATGTCTGTTTTTCCCCTCCTACACACAGAGCTTGGCTAGTACTCAAATATTTATTTGCTGAATGAGTGACAGAAATTAACTAAGTAAATCAAACTGTCTGTCTCTGTATAACAAAGTACTTTTTTCCCTTTAGAATTTATAGTGAAGTATATAATCACATTCCCATATTCAATACATAGATAATTAGACAACCCCAAATATAAACCGGTTTTCACAAAGTAAATCTCATAAATTTAAAGGTCATATTCTTTTACCATATCCTACCTATAAAATTAGCAGATGTATTAAAAAAACAATTAAATATACCCAAATTGTGTACGTTTTGTGGTATTTCTTCTAATCTCCTTGCAAATGAGCCTAAAACTGTCAGATTTTGATTTCTATGCCTTAACAAAAGCTGACAAGTGTACCACATGGAGCATTATAATGGGAGAGCTGATCTCCTACTCCGCAGGAAGCTGGCACTGACAGGAGACCACTAGGAGCATTCCACTTAGAAACCCAGGTGGAGTGTCCTCACTGTGCTAAAACCAGTCACAAAATACTAACTGCTCCCCTTTACATTATCAATAACCTGGCCAGATATAAACACTGCACCAACTTTCAACTTGAAATGGAACATTTCATCTTGGGGTGGGAGCTAACATGCCTGTTCTTAGAAGATGACACAAATAGCAAAGGGTTGGATTGGACAAAATATTTGCTAATTACAGCTCTTAACTACTTTTTTTGTGTGTGTGTGTGTGTGAGGAAGATGGGCCCTGAGCTAACATCTGCCAATCCTCCTCTTTTTGCTGAGGAAGACTGGCCCTGGGCTAACATCCATGCCCATCTTCCTCCACTTTATATGGGACGCCGCCACAGCATGGCTTGACAAGCGGTGCATCGGTGCGTGCCCGGGATCTGAACCGGCGAGCCGGGGCCCTCGCAGCGGAGCGCGTGCACTTAACCGCTTACACCACCGGGCCGGCCCCTCTTAACTACTTTTTTTAAAAATAAAAGTCTGAGAATCATAAACCAAATTTCATTATCAAAAAGTACATTCTATTTCTGATCCTTTGAATCCCAAGCTTTGACTCTACTTGTCAACTAGGGAAAACATCTGGTCTAGTGACAGAGTGTTTCTTACAATCCGAAACAACTGAGCCATGTGTTGACTTATTCTGTCTCCCGCTATAGCGGGGGCTCCACGAGGCCTGGGTTTGGTCAGGCTTGTCCACCCAGCACAGTCTCGGCACACCGTGCTGCAAGATGAACCACTGAGGGAGTGAGGAGCGCTGGTCTAGTAGAACCAGATCTCGTGTGTCATAACATTTATGAAGATACTTATTTTGTTATTTACCAGGAAAAGATATGCTGTCAAAAATGCAAATAAAATGCCTTTACTTCTCATTTATGCTTCTTGCTTCCTAGGTATTATGCCATATAAAATGAGTGTTTCTAATTATCTAACCTGTTTCATTCACCAGTTAAGAAAAAAATGTATTCTACTATAAGGCAGAAAGAGCCTTTTGCTAAACCATTGAATTTCTCCAGCTGTTAGAAGTTTTCTGGAATGAAACTTCTTTCTCTCGGTAGCTGAAATGGAACTTGTTACCTTATTGCGTAGTTTGAGGAGTTTTATCAGATTAAACAAATATATGGCAACTGATAAGTCTACAAGCAGATCCATGAGTACGACCATTTTTGTGGAATAATTTAGCCACTAGCTGACTAAAAGTACAAAAACATAGATGCAGGATAGAGGGCGTGAAAATGGGTTACAGGATAGTGGCTTAAATCCAAACTCTGTCTCTTAATAAATTGTCAAAATTTTTGTCTTAAAAGGGTGACTTGATGAAGTTGAAACATTCATTGATAAGTATTTATCCATACAATTTAGATAACAGTAAAATATTAATATCAAATTTGCCCATTAAAAGAAATTCCCTACCTGGTGTTCTCTGACACAAGTGTAATGCTGACCAACAACGATGACGTGTGGGTTTTCTGCGGGTGAGTCCTGTTCCATTTTGCATCTTATTTCTCAACTCATAGATCACACTGAATTATTCACAGCTCAACATCTTCTTCCTTGGTCCTGCTTCTTGTTAAGTTAAGGATTAAAACTAGATTGTTGCTTTTTAAGTTATAACATGTTAAATGGAAATTTTAAATACTAGACAAGTTCAACCTGATTTACAGCTGCTCCAATTTCTGACTTGAACTTAGAAAAAGTTGCATTACAAGAGACATGATCCACCCATATTTTCAAAAGCATTAATGTTTGCCTCCTTGGGTTTTTAAACTTCTCTCACATTCAGCCAAAAAAGAGAGAGACGCACTTAAGCTACGCTGTCAAGTGCCGTATTTGACCAATCTTTTCAGTACTCTAAGTGGTTTTTTAAAGTCTTGCCTTTCATTTGCTATAACTCTTGACCCCACCTTATTTCTCCTATAGGAATCAACTAAAAGGCTTAGAACAAAGACAGATTCTTCGAATAAACTGAATAGTTTGGTAAATAGACCCCCCCCTTCTTTCTCCAGATCTCATTGCCATCAATGGGATTCCATCTTGAGAAGAAAAATAGATACTTATTTCAATGTTACAGTATTAACTTAGGTTACTTTTTAGAAGTTATTTTCAATCTCACCCAGATATGCATTGAAAACATCCCATCTTCCCTTCTATTCCTCCTCATTCACAACTAAAGCTAACACACACTCCTTACAAGTAGGAGTAATGAGGAAGGGCAGGAATTTCAGACATATTAGGAATATTGATTAACTCTATTACTTTTGGTAAGGCAATTTCTTGATTGAACAGACCACTGGTGGATGAATGGTAGGAGATGCATATTTTCAAGCTAAGCCCTTTCAAGGACAGACGCCAAGGTGAGCAGTATTCCGGGTTTCTCAGCAACCTGAAAGGATTTGTGAATGATTGTGAAAGACTTGCACCACCTCCCAGATGCACTTAGGGGCTGCTCTAAACAGCAAAGCCCAGTTTGGGAAATCCATGTCACATCCTGTACCCCGGGGGGTAAGAAGTGGTGAAACACACACAGGCACACACACCCCACAGGCACCAGTGGGTAAGAAAGGGTGAAATAAATACACACGCACGCACACACACATCCCACACCAGTGGGTAAGAAGGGGTGAAATACACACTCACACATCCCACACCACGCCAACCAGAAAGCCCCGCGGTGAAGCTCTCAAGCAGGCAGGCTCTGCATCTGAAGGCACAGTCAGCATCCCTGTCTCCCAGCCCAACTGGGAATCTCTCCTTCGCCTCGGAGCTAGAGCTCCCTAGTCTTGTACATTCTAGGCTGTTCTTTGCGAAGTAGAAAGGTCTATGCTGGCCTTACCTCTGGGGCTGCTTTCTTGTAAGTACGGTGGGGCCGTGGGAGTGACATTTCCCGAATGGGATGCTGACAGCAGAGGCGAGCGTTCGTCCACCCCGTCAGCAGCCATGACTGCAGCAGCGGCGCGGCCGGGGCAGCTGAGCCGGGTTGCGGCTCCGGCGGAGGCGGCGGCCAGTGCTGCCGC